GTGAGAATTCGCATGTCTCACACAAACCTATAGTGTGTACCCAAGTAGCCAACACCAATTGCTCAGCCAATTTCGACATTTACAGAGGTTTGAATTTTTGATCGTAACAGAAGACCAAGAATGATTACTTTCAAATGTGGTAATCCGGTCTTTTCATCACAAACTTCAAAGTGTCATTGTTAAAGTGATTATGTAGTATGGAAATGACGTTCAATTTATTTTGAATTTAAGCAGTTATAATATTCAATATTTATTCTGGTCACTTCATTTAAAATATATAGAACTGTAATCAAACTTTGAGCTCAATTCCAGCATTGAGTGGTAAGCATAGTGTGTGCTTTTTCTAAGAACCTTTGCACCCTGTTATTCATTCAGAAATATGAGCGATCCCGGTTATTTACCTAGAAATACGAGCAAACACACTACATATGTTTCCGCTACAGGAGTCAGTAAGATGTATCCATTTTGTGGAGTACGACAGGAGTGCAGATGGAAGCTAGAGAGGAGTGCCATACGAAGATAGTGTCTAATAAAAACACCCGAAAGAGCAGGCGGACGTAACCCAGTGAATTGGACGAGGAGAATCTAGGGCAGCGACGCACATTCCGAACGGAACGGCGAACCAGCTCATATTCGAATACTTTGTGCATGTTGATAGTGCAACTGAGCGGTTTTCTCGCTTCAGGCAGTTGCGCAGGAGTATCTATATCAGAGTGATGTGCTTCTCTGTGATGTGCACGGATATGTAGGCGAAAGCATGTGCAGAGTTGGTGGCAAACGAAAGAGCGACGACAGAACAAGTTTGTGGGCGAGAGCCTGGGCGAGGGCCTTGGAGAAGGCCAGCATGAGGACAAGGCCGAGAGCCGGGGCCGAGAGCCGGGGCGAGAGCCGGGGCGAGAGCCGGGGCGAGAGCCGGGCGAGGGCCGGGGCGAGACCGGGCGAGAGCGGGGCGAGAGCGGGTCGAGAGCCGGGGCGAGAGCCGGCCGAGAGCCGGGCCGAGAGCTGGCCGAGAGCCGGGGCGAGAGCCGGGGCGAGAGCCGGGGGAGAGCCGGGGCGAGAGCCGGGGCGAGAGCGGGGCGAGAGCCGGGCGAGAGCCGGGGCGAGAGCCGGGGCGAGAGCCGGGGCGAGAGCCGGGGCGAGAGCCGGGCCGAGAGCCGGGGCGAGAGCCGGGCGAGAGCGGGGGCGGGGCAGAGCGGGCGAGAGCCGGGCGAGAGCCGGGGCGAGAGCCGGGCGAGAGCCGGCCGAGAGGCCGGGCCGAGAGCCGGGCGAGAGCCGGGCCGAGAGCCGGGCGAGAGCCGGGCCGAGAGCCGGGCCGAGAGCCGGGGCGAGAGCCGGGCGAGAGCCGGGCCGAGAGCCGGGCCGAGAGCCGGGCGAGAGCCGGGCCGAGAGCCGGGCCGAGAGCCGGGCCGAGAGCCGGGCCGAGAGCCGGGCCGAGAAGCGGGCCGGAGCCGGGCCGAAGCCGGGCCGAGAGCCGGGCCGAGAGCCGGGCCGAGAGCCGGGCCGAGAGCCGGGCCGAGAGACGGGCCGAGAGCCGGGGCGAGAGCCGGGGCGAGAGCCGGGCGAGAGCCGGGCGAGAGCCAGACCGAGAGCCAGGCCAGAGCCAGGGCGAGGGCACGGCATGACCGCGTCGTGAGAGATGACGAAGGTGATGGCGAGGGGCAAGGGGGAGGGTTGGGTAAGAGTGAAGGCGCGGACCGGCGCCAGAGAGAGGACCAGGCCGGGCGTGAGAGCGAGGGCGCGGAAGGCGGCAAGGGCGGCGGAGAGAATGAGGGCGGGGGGAGGGTGCATGGGAGCGCAGCGTCGTGCGAGCGTGGAGCCGTAATGATCCGCTGCAACGCCAGGGAAAATGGCTCGCGTGGGAGGTGGCGGGCTCAGCTGAGGGAAGAGATAGGGTGAGGCGCAAGAGTAGGGCAGAGCGGGACGAGCTGGGATGAACCAACAGAGGAGTCGTTAGGAGGGTGCCAACGGCTGCACGGGATAAACGCTTCGTTTAGTACTATCATTTCTTTATGGAAAATCAACACTGAAATATGAAGATCACGAAACATATGTATTTACTTTATAGCTAGCACGATTTTTAGTCTTCTCGTTTGTATTTATTTCAGTTTCTGGTGTTAAAGGAAATTGTTTACACAAGAAAAAACTGACTAGATATTTGTTATAGAACCATGACGTTTGTGCTATAAAATGAAGTAAAATATTTAAAGAAACAATTTTTTATAAAAAATACCGAGTCTGTTTATTAAGGTCAAGAAAACATTCCAATAAAATAAAAAATACAACAGGCGTTTATATAGTCTTTATACAGTGAACTATTTGCTTTAAAACCCTAGCTTTTTATTAATGCATAAATTCATATACATAAAAAAACACCCTTCACTCTGAAAATAAAACAACGTGATGTTTCAAAGAAGGTCATAGTGGAAGGAAAAGTAAATGAAGTGGATTTGGTGGGCTTGTTTTGAGACCGAGAAATGTGGGAAGAGACGGAGAAATGCTGGGAGTCAATGTCGCAGGGATGCAACTAACCAGCGATATCGATTGAGAAACGGCGAGTCGTGATCGAGAGGATGCGAGGATGTATGGAGGTACAAAGCAAAGAAAATAAATTGATGGCCGGCGGAAAAGTGGTAAGGCAGAAATTAGATTACTTTGGAGAGATGATAGGATTGAATTTTATTTTTTTGCCGTCAACGAATACAAAAACTGTGTGCGACGTATAAGGAAGAAGTACAATATGAAAACGTTTTCTTGGGCTCTAGAATCACTTTCGCATCCTTATTTTATCGTATATAGTTAAATTTCAAATAAAAGTTCTAATCAAGTGGTTTACGATATTTCAAAACTAAACATTTTTGCTCCCGAGTTATAAAAAACTAATGTGCATGGGTAAAAGAAATAACATCCCACGCGAACAGCTCTACTACTACCACACGTAGTAAAAGTAGAGGTCAACATTACGTAAGTGTACATATCAACATTTTCTCAATTGATGAGGGGCACGACGAAAAATCTTATCTAGATCATTGGTCCGGAATGTAAAGTAAATTACTTGTTATAGTAATACTTAGCCTGCTTGATATCGAATCTATTATTTATTTGCATCTTTTACCTCATAATAATATATTTGTGTAATTAATTAGTGTATTAAATAGGCTGTAATAACAAGCGGGTCTATTAGACCCAACGTTCTCACTGACGTCAGGATTTCTCACGTTCCCACCGCCGGGTTAAACTATCGATCCAACAATGTAACAAACAACCACCTCCGTGGGGACTCGATCCCTAGACCTAAGTGGTCAACGCCGCTTCAGAGGCAACAGCAATGGGCTATCTCAGGCGATGGGGCTAGTGGAGCGGGGTTAGAGGAAGGCGGGGTTGGGATGTGGGCGAAGCGAGAGGAGCGGATGGGAAACGCAGAGACACAGCAGGTGGGGGCTTTCGTTTACCCAGGGCAAAAGAGCTGGAACAGCCACCGCTGCTCCGCCGAGGGTTATTTGCTCGGTCTGCCGCCGGTAGCGCTGACCACCGCAGAACCCGCTCGTTCACTCACGCTTCGGGCCATTCACGTGTCTGCGGTCACCTGCTTCGAAACTCGGAACTCGATTGAACCACCTGATACCCAAGAAGGGCTTGTTCACAATACTTAGAATTAAACTTTTGGAGTTGGTTTTCAATTCCATTATGATGGATTATTTAAGCTAACTGCTTCGCAGCACGCAAAAAATAAAGTATAAATAAGATTTACTACTTCTAAACACTGTGGGACAATTGGGATAACGTTGTAAATCATCATACATTATAACCTGTACTATGATACTGGTAATACTTGACTGCTTGACATTTGAACTATATTTTGATATAAGTGTTATTAAAATATTTAAACTTTTATTGGATAAAATTATATTTCAAAGGTAAACAACTATGTCTCATTGACCATTGGTGTGTGCGGAAAGTATCTACGTACCTTTGGCTGTTTGTTTCAGTTATTTAACTCAGAAATTCATATACATAACAAAAATATGATATTCATATGCTTAATAAATGAACTTTAGTTATTTTGTGATGACTAATTTAAGAATTACAGTTTTATATTTTATCAATTAACCTTCGAAAGCGTTATGATTAAATAAGCAATTGCGTTTTGTTATGGTGAAGTACTTATTGGCAATTTTGTATTATTAATAATATTGACATTCTCTTATGAGTATTTAAAATAAAATTTTATTTTTGTTGATATTTTATTGCATGTTATTGCTTGTTATTGGTTTCATGGAACTTGATATACACTGCTTAACTTCTGTGGACTGAGTGGATCATGGTCACGGAGGATATATTAAAACAGTTGAATGACGCTACATGTTCCATTATGCGGGGGAATTATGAAAGAGAAATGTGAAAAGAAAAGTGAGTCAAGTTAACTGGTTAACGATAGGAGATTGGAATAGCTTACTCGCAGCACTGTTTCAACAATCTTCATTTACTAAATTTAAAAATAATTTAAATGACTAAATTTTTAATGATAATGTTTGAAATTAAGATTTAAAAATATAAATAAATAATTAATTTGCCTTTGGCAATATTGTACAAGTAAATTATCACGAGTACTGCCAGAATAAAATTTTAAGTATCTTTAGTATAATTTTTTGTAATATTTGTAATGTACTATCTATTTCAACAGTCTTCATTGTATCAAAACATGGTGAACTCTTGTATTATTAACTATTGTATTATTGACGTTATTATTATTATTATTATTATTATTATTATTATTACTTAGTAAAAAAGTAAATTATAATCATTAAAATTGGGTAAGAAATAAATATTGAATTACCACGGGCGTTAACTAGTTTTATTGATTTCGGATCATAATGTTATAACGCCGTTGGTGCAAAAATACCTATTGTTTTAAAAATCCTTTCAGTAGGCAGCATTGTGACTTGTCATGTACAACGGATTGGCTTTTCTGTCGTGCTTCATGTCGGCTGTGTGTGCCGCAGGTGTCGTGGATTCGACGCAAGGACTACCACCTGCTCACCGTGGGCGTCACCACCTACACCCGCGACGCGCGCTACGAGATGGTGCACGGCCAGCACTCGGACGTGAGTACCACACCAGCTTCCTTTCGTAGAACATTGAGCAATGAAAATGTCTTCAACTGTGTTTATGTTGTTAACACACTAAAAATTCTTCGTGTCTACTGCAGCTAAGATGGATTGGAAAAGTTCGACTCAATAGAAATGTTTATAAATATTTATTTTTATTTAATAGGTAATTATTACAAACATATTAGCTTACTTGATCCTATGTGGCTAGGCCGAAGGCCTTTAAAACATAACAATTCCTACATCCTTTCGCGTTATAATCTTTCGAATTCTGGTATTCACCCCAAATATTTATAAATATTATAAATATGGACATTCAGCGAACCAATGCATAGAGAAATAATTGCTTCAGAGTCGCCCGGATGGCCGAGATCATTAAGGCAGTAGTGCCGTAGCGATCTCGGTCTAAAGGATAGCGGGTCTGAGTTCGCTTACCGTTAACTACATTAGTGGTCGCTAATGACTTAGATGTTAATGCGACCTTAAATAACAAAAACAATCAGCTGGAGATACAGGTATTATGGCATGGTTGTAGAATCACTGAAATAGTTTTATTGGTTGCTGTTTATTCTAATACTTTAAACTTCATTGATTTGAGTATATTTAACATTCTGAAAATTGCAACCAAAATACGAAAAACGTAATTTTTCTTCCATGGAAATCATTTTTGTAATATTTATCTTTAATTAATCTTCCAAAAAAAGCTAAGCACAACTCTTCCCAGGTATCTGGATCATTTGTGAAAACTTCTTATTGGTTAACAATTTTGTAATACCTCTAATTTACCAGGTTTACGAATTTTTATACGCAGTTAAAAATATTTATCATAAAGTAATAAAGATAACCTTACATAAAGAATGAGCACATAATGAGAGTGTATATTCCACTATGATACTTAAGATGCGTAAAGTAAGCATAACATAATAATAAGTGAATACATCGTATTTTCCACAATGATGAAGAACTTACATAATTAGTTCAGCCAACCGTTGAGGCCTCTATTTTCAGGCCCTTCCCGCAGGCCCACGTTAACCTCATAAGCGAAACACCCACGCTGGGCCGCCTCGTACCGAAACGCGCGGGTTAAGGGCGCTCGACAATTTTCTGAAGCGCGGCCCCGTCATAAGACTGCAGCCAGCGCCCCGGCGCCGCCTTAGCCGTACAGAGCAGCGCGGCGGGCGGGTTCGGGGCAGTCGCTAACGAGCTATTAGCCTACGCCATTACGGAGCTGACTTTCTTTACGCCGCCCTCCCACGGCGCCGGGCGGTGACGGGGGGCGGGCGGCCGGAGAGGCGGGTGTTCGCCGGCGCAGATTTCTGTGCGGGGGGCGGGGGGGCGGGGCTGACGGAGGCACGACCGAGCTAAACGGAGGTTGAACCCCGCGGGTTCATGCTAACGTGAGAAAGGTGTGTGCGAGGGGGGGCGTGTCGACTGAAGACCGCAGTTGGAGAACACACATGCAGTGTGCTGCGAATTTGAGGGAATAATATTCCGACAGAATGCACGAAATTTGTCTTCATGGAAAACAGAAGGAGGAATATTATACAATAGTATACTTGTTTTGAGCAACATACCTACAAGACAACAAAGGAATACATTTACTTTTATTCCGAATGTGCGTCGAGGCTCTAGTACGTTTCCTAATATGCAGTTGATCTACACTTCAGGATCAGTGTTTCTATTCGTGTGGGTGATGGTTGCACTAGTAGCTAGCTACAGAAGTAATTATTTTTCTATAAGTTAAAAATGTTGCATTTGGTTCCAAAGTAGATACGTGATTGTGGATATAGATTCTGTGGCGTCTGTGTCACAAGGTTACATTCAATTTTTTGTACCTTTTCTGCCAGTATCATGAAATTTAAAGATAGAATGTGTTACTTAAAAAACAATGGTTTAAACTGATGAAATACTCAACGGAATTGCAAAGCTCAGACATAATATATTTTTTTCTTAATTTTGACGATAAATTTTATTTATATCGGTATTCATTCATTTGTGCACATGGCACACTGTAATCTATAGCTATGGTGAGTGATACGTTAACAAGCAATTTTGACAGCTCGAATATTTGTGAATGAATCATTTCAAACAATCACTTTTCGTATTAATGATTCGGACAATTAAAAATGATCGAGAAACATTTTTATACGCCCTTTGCTAGGAAAAAACTACAAAGTATGGACATTGTTCGTTTTCTAGAAATCCATTTTATGCCACTTTTTAACGTTTGTTCAGAACACATTTGGCTCTTATATACTCAATTAAATAATTATGAAAATAAGAAATATTTAAGTTAACAGTTAACAGATTTTATAATTCCTCTTAAATGTTGAAATAAACGTGTGAGGTGAAAATTAAAACAAAACTGTAAACCTGTATGTATTAATGTTAAAACCGTGAAATAATTGCGTAAAATTTTTGGTCAATACAAAACAAGAATCGTAAGAAATCTTGTTGCATTTGAATAAGGGGAATTATCAAAAAAGGCCATTTGACGTTTTTAAACAACCGAGTATTTTAAAATGATGCTACAACGAGAATATTAGACGTTTTATTTTCTTTGAAAGAAATTAATTTACCACAAATTGGATTATTTATCGTGCAAGAAGAGATAAACAGATATCCGTAGCAGTTAACAGAAGGCAATACATTATTTTTTCACATGTGTTCTAATATTACTTATTACGAAAGTGATTATACTTGTTAGCAATCGGCAATAGATTTTTGGTTGGATGGATTGTAATATTTCTTATTAAAAGACTGATTTATGCTACCTAATTTTTGAATTTAGATAATCAAAGTGGATGAAAGGGATACTGATTATTCACTTTTGAAGTCTTCAGAATGAGTTTATCAAAATCTCTTAAAAGTTTTGGGTAGTAGATTATAATTGACGAGCAAACAATTTGAGTAAAGACGATGGCGGAACCAAGACCCCTTCCCCAGAAGCCAATGCTACCCCTCCAAAAATACTAGATACTATGTTTTTGTGAAAATGACGTTTCGAAATTTAACGATGATAATTTTTTAACATCGATGTTTTGTGATCAATGTCTTTCTTTTCCGGTGTTTTATTTCTATATTAAAAATTCCTATCATCACTACACTGTAAAAGTTAAAATAAGAAATAGTAACTAATAGTATCACTCTTATTCATGCGTTGTAACCAAGGAACTCTTTTTCCACAACCTTCATCGACCAATCTCTCTAGCTCGAGATGACCTCCGTTCCCATGCACTTCCTCCTTCTTCGTATTCATATCGGACATTGGGATATGGTCAACAAATACGCTGGGGGCGTACGGTCAGCCCCTTCTTCTCGTAACCTTATTCGGCGAATTCATACACACGAGCAATGTCAAATTAAATTTTAATGCCCACGGAATTAAGAGGTAACTAAACCAATCAAAAAAATCTATTTTGAAAAACATAAATTTTTAACCTAGATAGATAGATAGATAGATAGATAGATAGATAGATAGATAGATAGATAGATAGATAGATAGATAGATTTATTATTTGTGCAGTTAGTGCCACAAACGGTTAGGTAAACCTGGTGGCAGAACACTACAATTTACGTATTACAACTAAGAATAGTAATACACTAATTTTAAAGCATTTTAAGGCAATAATAACAATAATATAACAATAACAATAATAGCATTACCTATACACTTTGACTGTCCTGCACGGAATTTTTAACTAATAAATACACTACACTTCCCTTCACTTCACTTCTCTCCCTAGTTCTCTATTGTACTACACTTCAGAACACGTCACGACTCTCCAATTCAACTACTACTTTAAATATAATTGTATATTTAATAAACCAATGCATTTAATAGTGATTATCACAATACTAGTAATAATTAAAAATAATAATTATATTAAAATTATAACTAAAATAATAACTATTTTAATAAGCCTAACTTATACAAATGTCCTTAGTTAATCTATGTTTAAAACTTTGTACACCTAGATGAAAGGGTTCCATGGCTGTCGATGTTTTAATTTTGAACATCGACGTTTGCTCACATCGATATTTCGTAATCGATGTCGCATCTCCACCCTGAGAGGGGTTCTGTCGGTGCGTCCATTGTATTTAACGGTCGCCGGTGGCTGCGCCTAATTCCCCGCCAGCTTGCGGCAGCGGGCGTGGCTGGTGTTTGACTCGCCCAGCGGAGCGCGCTGCTGTTTCCTCGGTCGAGAGGTCAC